TTTCACGTGACACTGATTTTGTAGTTTCTCTCTTGGAAGCAGAATTTTGATTTTTTACTATCTTTCAAGTCACACAGACCGAAGCTATTCGATCATTCATAGATGAACATTTGGCACGAGTCCAGAAGCAAAGTATAACAATTTACCCTTGTTTGGCAAGCGAAGCTTTTCATTTGGCCTGTGGAGGAAAATTTATTTCCGCGTTTTATTCTTCGAGATTATCCTTATGCAGGAAGCTATTTCTGATGCAAAATACGCTTAACTTAAAAACGAAAAGTATTCTGGTTACACGGTAGTGCATGATTATTTTTTATCTTGCAGCCTGCTTCTGCCCGGGAATAAGTTGCGGAGAGAAGGAGATCGTAACTTCTCCAGAACAGTCGACCAATGAATAAAGCATATGAATTATGCTTAACACTAACGTGGTCGCTTGATTAAATAGATTTAAATCATGTGAAACTGATTGAAAAAATTATATCAAATAAAGCAAATTATGAAGGCAATAAGCGATCGCATCTTTGTTAAAAGCCAATGATCTTAAAATCTAAATGACTAAAACAATCTTGTTTTTTTTTTTTAAATAAGAAAAACAACCTATAAGTCATAAGTTTTGGAGGGGAATAATTATGTTTCATATCAGGCGCCACTTCAAAATCACAAATTTCGATTTTTTGAGTGTTTCTTTTTTTTTAATTTTTGCCAACGCTTAACGGAAATTTTCTGAGGTAAAACAATTTTGTTCTTCCCTTTGTTTGGTCCCAGTCTCAGTCTTGTTATTTCTCCTGTTCAGTACGACATAATTATTAAAGACAGTTTGGTTCGACCCGATTGATGTCACGTGAATGAATTTTGTTACATCTTATGAAGACTTAAGCGAACGACACATTCAACACGTTTAGTTTTAAGTATCGTTGAAAATCACAAGGCAAGGATGTTTTAAAGAGGAGTCAGAAAGGAACTTAACCGTTCAATCTCATAAGCGTGCAACCCTAAGTTAAAGCCACTCCCTTTTCGCGCGATTTTGGAAGCGCATGTACTTAAAGGGAATACCGCATTTCTAGTGACGGACAGGTGTCGATCAAATTTAGAATCAGCTGACTTCCTCTTCTAAATCAATTCAATTTTTGACCGTTGCAACTATTGGATTTCCGTAAAATTGAATAACCGACTTACTTTTAAATTTGAAAGTGATAGTAAAAACATTATAAAAAATTTCCAATGAAAGTATTTTCATGGATTCAATAACTTGTATTGGACTTGATGCGAATGACGTCCTTAGAGTCGATCCATATGTCACTCTGGCGTTTCAAATTGAAATTTTCATCGTGATGGACCAGCCAACTTTAATTAGAATTTCGTTGTGTTTGCTGAAGTTTAAATGTAGTGATCTTGGATCTTGTTTTCAATATTACTATGAAGAAGAGGATTCCTCGTTGAAAAAATTGCCAACACTGTGAAATGTTTTTGACAATGTCAATCAACAACGTTTCAATCTTTATTTAAAATGAATTATAATTTCGAAACATTGCCCGTTGGAAAAAACTAAATGGTTCCATATTCCGTAGAGTGGTATACCTTTTAATGGTAAAAAAAATGCAAGAGTTAGATGTTTGTTTCTCATTAGTTTCTTGTCGACAAAGCATGGCTCGACCTAACATCGTGAAACAACTGGCAATAACAATATCTTTCTCCTTGCTGTTTTACCAGGCGTTGATCCAAACGGAGTGAAAGTAACCCATTTGACCGCTGGCCAGTTCACCGAGTCTTCAGACGGTGGCAGTTTCAGTGTTCCTATATCATGGGAAAAGCCAATTTTTAACTACAGCACGCTTGTCTTTTACACATTTCGGTACAAGATCGGAAGCAAGAATAGCACAGAGGAACTGATGGTAAGAAACTGTGTATTGAAAACTTTAAGACTAAATAAATATTTGCTTAAATTGGCACCATTATATCGACTGTTAGCATGAAAAACCAATGCTATAAAGAGGCGAAAGAAGGCATCATATACACGAAAGATCACTTAATACCATCAAAAGATTGACCCAGATAGATTGGTGTTGAAGCCATTACAAATTATTAATAGGGCCTATCACTTTTCCCGAAAAACTTTTACGCAAATAAATGCGAGACCCCTTCATCTATGATTTCAAATCGTCGACCAAAGAATTCTTTTAGCCCTAAATAAGGGTTTTTAATTACTTTAATTTTATTGATGGATACAGCAACAGGAGCATTTTCTAAACCACCTTGTTATGAATAGTCAACAGAAATTGTCTTTTCTCTGCCTGGCAAAGGACTAATCATAGCATTTTTCTCTCTCGTTTTTAATTTGGATGTTTTAAATTATATATTTTGGTTGCTATGGATACTAGTGCTTTCTCTGAAGTACCTAATTGCAATGTAATGATTCTGACTCCGAACTCTGGAAATGTTTTCCAGATAGCATCTGTTTATGTGACATTTTAGACACCATTAATTCTAAGCTTATGACCTATCTTTTTGAAAAATATCTTTTTAATAGCAATTTTAATCTTGTTTTCGGAACATTGATTTAGTTTCCATTCATTGCCCATTTTTGTAAAGCGACAGGAGCTTATTCATCCATTTACCTTTATTCTAATATTTATACTATGTTTATTTATCAGCCTAACGAGACATATTTCAACATTTCTGGAATACTGCATGGTAAACTGATCAGATATTGGGTAAGCTTATGTCCACAGATTTGTCCATTTGTACGGGGTGAAACTAGGAATTTCTGATGGCAGAAGGGTTAAAGATTTTTACCTGCCTCTCAACGACAATTCCAACCTTAGTTGAAGTTCAAGTCTTCCATATCCTGGTTTTA